AAAAAAATAGAATGAACTTAATATTCTTTCCCTAGGAAAAACAAACTCAAAGATATTAAGTTGATGAACTACCAGGAAAAAGCTGGAAATGGCTGTGATCATAAAATCCTTCAAATGAATCATCCAGAGCAGTCAACAAACATTTATTGAGCACCTACTAGGGACCAGGCACTGGTGGTGCTGATAGGAGTAACTTCATACAGCATTTCTCAGAATATGGATCCTCTGCCTATCTGTAGCAGACTCACCCTGGGGAACCTGTTAAAATCAGATTTCTGGAATCCACTGTAGATAGACCACCTAATGAGAATTTCTAGGAATGGGCTGGAGAATTAGCATCTTTGAACTCCTTAGCTTATTCTTATGCACATTCTAGTTTGAGGAACACTGCTTTAATGATAACTTTACCTGCAATGACTGCTTTTAATGAAACATACCAATATGTATATAACAATGAGATGTAATCTCAGAACAATTTTAGCTTAGAAAATTGAGGAAATATGGTTCCTCACACAATAAAGCAGGGTGCACCTGGGCTATACATCTGTGGTTTCTTAGGGAAGAAGGCACAGGCACCATGTCAAAGTGACCAGATGCAGGGTGTGTGCAGGCCCTGCAACAGGGTTTTTTTTTTTAGAACTTATGTGGTGGAACAAAGCCTCGCGAGACATCAGGAGACTGGTGCTTTCTTGGTACCCTCCTCTTCTCTCCTTTACAGAGTACAAATGAGTATCTGCAAAAATTCTCATGAGCTATGCCCACTCAAAGTGACCAGATGCAGGGTGTGTGCAGGCCCTGCAACAAGGGTTTTTTTTTTTTAGAAATTATGTGGTGGAACAAAGCCTCGCGAGACATCAGGAGACTGGTGCTTTCTTGGTACCCTTCTCTTCTCTCCTTTACAGAGTACAAATGAGTATCTGCAAAAATTCTCATGAGCTATGCCCACACACATAATAGGCCCTCTGCATCTAGAATACTCACTCTGTGTCTTCTAGATGGTGTTCAGTGGTGGGTGAGCCAAGGTGGTAGCCTGTAGACATGTTTTCAAGTTGAGTTGCTATAGCACTTATATTGGTATCTGCTACAACCTGTGGGGAAAATTAGAACAAGATATTTCATTATGAGACGGGAGAGTTAGAGAAACCACGCTAGATGCAGTGGTCAGTTCTCAGTCTTCATCTTATTCCAGCTATCTGCAGCATGTGACACGATGGATTATGCTCTCTCTCAAACTATTCCTCATTTGGCTTCTATGACACCACACTTCACTAGTTTCTTTTCCATGCTTCTGGCCATTCCTTCACATCTTCCAAGCCCCTAACTGAGGGCTACAGGGCTCAGTCCTTGAGCTTATCTTTTTCACCTAAACATATTCCCTTAGTCATCCCATCCCATCCCATCTCTTGAATTTAATACCATCTATGTGATGATAATTCCTGAACCTGTACCTACAGCTCCACCTCTTACCTAACTCCAGATCCCTATATCCAGTCAACAACCTGACATCTCTAGTGGGATATCTAGCAGGTATCTCAAACCTAACCTGTCCAAAACTGAGCCTTCCTCATCTCAGGCAATTGCAACTTGATTCTTCCAGCTTCACAAACACCTTAGTGTCATCCTTGACTCCCCTGCTTCTCTTACAACCCACATTAGATAATCCTATTGCTCTGCCTACAAAATCATCTCTTGCCTGGAGTTTCACAATAGCCTTCTCACTGGCCTCCCTACTTCAGCTCTTCAGTCTATAGCACCCAGAATGGTCCTGTTAAAAGACAGCAGATTATTTCACCCATCTCTCTTGGGTCACAAGAGAGAATTCCTTGCTATGACCTACAAGGTCATCTGCAGGTGAGGTGCCCCAGGATGGCTCTGCCCTCTTCTCCTAACATCTCCTTTGCATTCACTCTGCCCCAGCATGTTGGCCTCCTTGCTGTTTCTTTCACATGCAACACACACTCCCCACCTCAGCACTTCTAAGTGCTGTGCCTTCTGCCTGGAATGCTCTGCTTTCGGCATCTGCATGGCCAGCTCCTTCACTGTCCTCAGGTCTAACTCCAAAGTCACCTTCTCTAGGCACTCTTGCTAAGATGTCCACACCAACATCCTAGCCCAACATTTCATGACCCCCTTCCTTGCTTCCTGTTTCCTTCTTACCACCATCGCTATCTAATGAACTGTGTATTTTACCTTATTTATCTTACTTATTGTCTATCACAGAATGTGACATTTATTTATTATCTATCATAAAATGTGATAGAATATAAGGGTAGGAAGTTTGTCTGCTTTGTTCACTATTGTGTTCCCATCATGTGGAACAGTGCCTGGAATGCAGTAGGTGTTTAGTAAATAATTGGTGAATGAAAGAACAAGTGAATGAATAGACTCCCTGAGATTTGCCTTTTAGATGGTCCTAAACCAAGGTAGAGTAGAATAACAACATTTAAACATGCACTTTCTATTTGTATTCTGCAAATAACATTCTAAAGCATTCAGAAGAAATATAGTATAGCCCTGAGAGCCATAGGAGGACTCGGAATGGAGTGCCAGAGTTCAGTCTCTGCCACTTACTGAGGCTGGGAGATCATAAAAGCCTGCCTTGCCTCCTTGTCCTGGACTTATCTTCCACCTCAACTAGTTGCTAGAACTTCTTTCTCAAGAGCTCCTTGGTTACCTCTGCTTCTGATCTACAATCCTGCTTCTAGGTTATAATACTCATTGCACAAGTATAGGAAGAACTTTGCCTGACAGCAGTGCAAAGGACTTGATTTGATTGCAGTTTCAGAAAAAGCCAACAGAGGGCATGGCTGCCTAAATCGCTACACTTGGCTGCATATTGTTAAGTAGAATAAGAAAGGCAACAGGCCTGCCCCAGCTGGGTCAGAGCACATTTTGGGTGAAGCATCCTCTTCTGGGAGAAAACATTGCTATGCGCAAGTTACAGGATCTTCTTGAAATACCAGCATATGAAGAATGACTGAATGAATTGGGGAATATTTAGGATAAAAGACACAAGGAAGAAATGACAGATTCTCCCTGACCACAACAGTCTCTCTACTACCAGCTCTTCCTGCTCTCTTCCACAGCAAGTGTACTGGACGAGTTGTCTTTGCACATGACCTCTGTAATCCTACCTACTCTTAATATACACTGTCTTCATAAACCCACTCCATTCTGCTTCCATCCCCATCTCCCAGCCTAAACTCATGACCCACACTCTCTGGCTTTCCTCCTGCTGCTGGGATCTGTTTTTCCATTTCTTTGCTTCTCTTCCACTCACCTCTCATGGGCCAGTCATGGGCCCACTTCCCCCTTGCACACTCAGGCTCAGGTGACAGCACATACATTCCCATGGCTTTAAATTCCAACAGTGTGCTGACAATCCCAGCTTAGTCTGCTACATCCAATTGCCATCTTGACATCTGCATTTTAATATCTCAAAGGCTTATCAAAATTAACACAGCAATATTCAAGCTCTTGATCCACCAACCCATCCTCTTCAATTCACTTTTCTTCTAGTTTTCTACATTTTAGTAAATGGCACCTCCAGCTGCCCAATTAGAAATCTACTAGGTGTAATACTGAAAATACTTGATTGCCAGCTGGTACCTGTCCAACTGGAAAGAAGGCTAGGATGCTAGCTGCATAGGTGTTCACTCTCTGAAGATCAACCTGATAGTGACCGCTCTCGCCTGCCGTACATAATCCCCCACCAAATCCTCTGGATTCCACCTCCAAAATCGTTCTTAAATCTGTTTACTTTTCATCATAGGTGACATCCTAATTCAATCCATCACCATCTAGTGCCTTTTACCGGAATCTCCACTCCTCCTCCTCCACACAGAAGCCCGTTATCTCTTCAAATATAAAAAGGATAATGCCACTCCCCTGCTTTAAACCTTTCCATGGTTTCCCTTTTACTTGGAAGAATATTCAGACTCTCTAATTATGCACACAAGAGCTAATCCCACCTATTTTCATACACTGCACCCTACACTCCACAGTTCTTTCTGCCTGGAGTTACTCTTCCCACCCTGCCCCCCACCGGGTGTGTTCAGCTGCATAAGATTTCAACTTCAAGATGTGGCCAGAGAGTCTTGACCCAGCCCTGCCTCTGAAGTTCTCTTCCCCATCAACACCAGGGACTGAACAACATGGATGTAAGGCTGGAATGGGGAAGGCAAACAGGCTGATGGGAAGTTCACTCTTTTTTTTAAAGTAAACAGTGAACTCCTGGGCATAAACTTCTGTGATAGATTCTGAGAATAGGGATGGGGGCAAAGGAAACCAAGGGGAAGCAAATGTTCCCTGGCCTCCGGCAGGCTTGCAGTCGATGTCATCTAGTGTGGGAGCAGATATGAACACATGCGGTTCCAAGTGGAGAGAGGAGAGGGGAAGGCAGAGGGGCTCTGAGGTCCTTAATTAGACGGTGAGCAGGCTTGCAGTCGATGTCATCTAGTGTGGGAGCAGATATGAACACATGCAGTTCCAAGTGGAGAGAGGAGAGGGGAAGGCAGAGGGGCTCTGAGGTCCTTAATTAGACGGTGGGCACTAAGTTCTCTGCATCTTGAACATGCAGATCAAGAACTACGGTGTCTGGGGTCCTCTCACCTGGCAGGGCCGGCTCCATGCCTAAGATCTGCAGCCTGTGGTCTGGCATTCTGCATTTGTCAGCTCAGCAACCTTTGATCTCATGCCCCAGACCCAACGGCCCAGAAATGTGGCCGATGTCCTCCCTGCTCCAAACCCACCCCTCAAAACATGAACCTGGCTCAAAACCTGCCAGTCCTTGAGTTCATGCCTCTCCTTACTGTTAGTGCTGCTGCAGACATTTTGATGGTGGTTGGTTAAGGTAGACAACTAGATATAGAACTGCTGGGTGATGGGCATGCATGTATTAAATATAACAGAACTTCCTAAGCTGCCAAATGGTTGCACCAATTTAAACTGTCACCAGGCATTTAATAAAAGTACTGCTTCCCCTCACCCTCCCCAACCCTTGGTATTAGCAAATGTTTAATTACTGACTACCTGAGGTGGATGAAACCATTGGCCTGAAGGAAGAGAAGAAGGAAATCCCCCCACCCAAGGAGGGGGAAGCCTCCCATATGAAGGAAGATGAGGGGGAGGGGGAGGCCACCCACGTGAGAGAAGAGGAGCAGAAGACTGAAATGAAGGATGAGGAAGGAGCCTTGTCCTCTGAGCCTACAGACCAGTCAGAGATGTCAGCATCAGTGGAAGGAGAACCAATATGCATGTTTCTTCCTCAGTCTGCATCTTCCTCTCAATCTCTGTTTCCCCCTCCAAACTGATCTCTCCCTCACTGTGTTTCTCTCTCCAAGACGGTTTCCTCTTTAATCTGTAATTCCTTATTTTTTTTGCGGCTGGCACCAGCCTTGGTATTATAAGGTGGTGACCTTGGTGTTATAAGGCTTGTAATTCTTTCTTAAATTGTGCATCCTCCTCAGGCTGCTTTCCCTCAAGACGGTAGTTATTCTGATACAATTCCTTGTGCTTTAGCTCCTTGTGGCACTTAATAACTTAGGTTACAAGCAAAACTAAACTCCATTAGAATTGTATGTTCTACGTGTTTTTTTTTTTTGGGGGGGGGTTGGCAACTGGGAATCCAAACCCTTGACCTCAGTGTTTGGTGTTAGCAGCACCGCGCTAGAATTGTGTGTTCTCTAATAGAACATTGTATGTTAAATAAATTTTCTGAGTAATAAAGCACAGGTCTTTATTACATGGACCTTGGGATGAGTATCCTTCCTTTAAAACAGGTTTGGGTGACTACGTTTTGGAGAATTGAGAAGCCAAAATAATTTCCAGATAAATGGTACATTACAATACACAAAAGCTTGAATTCTTTGCTTAGAACTTTTCTGAGCTTCTAATCCTACAAAGGAACAAGGTTAGCCCTTAGATTTGCTAAGACCCAAATGTTTCAGTACAATAAAACTCAGCACTTATACCCAGCCTAGATCATAGACCCATAGGTGCAGACACGTGAAAACAGACAGGAAGGCTGTAAAATGACCCCTGAGATAGCTGGCATCTTAAGATAGGGGTATATTACAGAAGAACAATC